TCCTCCTCCTCCTCCTCCTCCTCCTCCTCCTCCTCCTCCTCCTCTTCCCCCTCCTCCCCATCCTCCTCCTCCCCCTCCTCCGCCAGGCCTCTGCGGGCGCGGGCGCGCTCACGCGGGGCCCACGGCGCTCACAAGTGGGAAGCCGCCCCGCGAGCGGACAGCGGCGCGCTTATCGCACGCCTACCTGGGGTCGGCGACCAGAGGGCGAGGGATGCAAGAAGAGGGCCCCCAAATCATTGATTTCTCTTAGGTTCACGAAGGATTTTGGCATATGTCTCTTTTCGGCCTCCCGACGGCCCAAGACAGCCCAAGAGGCCCCCAAGATCGCAAATGGCCGGAGTGTAGCCCGAGAGGCCCCCAAGACGGCCCCAAGAGGTCCCCAAAACGGCCCCACGGCCTCCAAGACGCCCGAGACTGCTTCCAAGACGGAGGGGGGCGAGCGGGGGGGGAGGGCGAGGGGGGCAAAGGGGGAAAGGAGGAAGGAAAGGAGGAGGGGTGGTGAATGGGGAGTGGCGAGGGGGGCACGGATGGGGAGAGGGGGAGAGGGGACGAAATCCATGCCACCCACGTCCAGGAGGGGGCGCCGCCGCCCTCCCGCTTCTTCCCGCCTGGGGGGGGGGGGGGGGCGACAGGGGGACGAGAGGGAGGGGAGAGGCAGAGGGGGCAGGGGTCAAAGTGGGATCAACGGGGGGGAGGGGCAAAGCAGGGGACGGGGGGGGGGGGGCGAGGGAGAGGTGAGAGAGAGGGGGGGAAGCAAGGGAAAGAGAGAGAGAGAGAGAGAGAAACAAAAAAAAACGCAAAAATGGTGCGAGGGCCTTGCGGACGACCCTACGGAACACCAAGCCTTGTTCGAACGCAATGTTTCTGTAACTGCTCAACCCCAATGAACTGGCAGGGGCTGAAAGCGTAGAGGCTTCAGTGGGGGGACTCTGGAAATTCCACTTCCTCTTCATCCTCATCCTCCTCCGCCTCCTCCGCCTCCTCCTCCGCCTCCACCTTCCTGTCCCCCTGCATCTGCCCTTGGCCCTTGCACCTTCCCCCGGCTTCACCTTCACTAGCCCACCGCAGCCTGCCCCCATTCGCCAAGTCGCGACTGCGAACAGAGTACGGGCACCTCGGCCTTGCCACATGCACCTGCGCCTGTTGCACTCGCTGCTGCAGCGCCGCCACCGCTGACGCGGCCGCGGAATGCAGATTGCTGCCGCTGCCGCCGTCGCGGAAAGCAGCCAGCCACGGCCGCCGTCGCTGCCACGGCGTCCGCCGCTGCCGCTGTCGCAGTGGCCGACGCCGCGCCGCTGCCGCAGTGGCCGCCTGCCGCCGCCAGCCGCCGCACATCGCGCGACGGCCGCCGCGGGTCGCAGGCGACGCCCAAGGCGCGCCCGCCGACGCACGCAGCGCGCGCCTTCACGTCGGCGCGCCGGTCGGCCGCGGAGTGCAGGCGCCGCGGAGTACAAGTGCCGGACGGGCGGCAGCCGCCGGCCGCGGCGGCCTGGCGGCTCGCGCGCAGCGCCGCCGCCACCTGTGTGTCCTGCCCCCGTCGGCCTCCCCCAGCCTCCTGCCCCCCCCCACACTCCTGCCCCCGCCGGCCTCCCCCGCTGACCCTCTCCACCAACCCCCTCCCAGTCCCACTCCTCCTCCTCCTCCTCCTCCATCCCTCCTCCTCCTCCTCCTCCTCCCTCCTCCGCCCCGCCGCCGCCGCCGCCGCCCGCCGCCGCCCAGCACCTCCGCCTCCTCTCCTCCTCCCTCCTCCTCTCCTCCTCCTCCTCCTCCTCAAAGCCCCTCTTCGCCATCCACTCCCCATCCTCCACCCCTCTCCCCCTCCTGCAGTCTCCTCCTGCCGCCTCCCCCTCGTCCTCCCATCCTTCCCATCGTCCTCCTCCTCCTCCTCCTCCTCCTCCTCCTCCTCCTCCTCCTCTTCCTCCTCTCCTTCTCTCCTCTTCTCCCCGCCTCCTACTCCTCGTCGTCGTCGTCGTCCTCCTCCTCCTCCATTCCCTCCACTCCTCCACTTTCTCCTCACTGTTCTGCTCCTGCTCTCCTTTCCTCCTCCTCCTCTCCTCCTCCTCCTCCTCTCCTCCTCCTCCTCCTCCTCCTCCTCCTCCTCCCTCTCCTCCCTCCTCCTCCCTCCTTCCTCCTCCCCATCCTCCTCCTCCTCCTTCCTCCTCCTCCTCCCTCCTCCTCCCTCATCATCCTCATCTCGCTATATCATGTCATCATCATAATCATCATCATCATCATCATCATAATCATCATCATCATCATCATCATCATCACATCATCATCATCATCATCATCATCATCATCAGCATCAGCATCAGCATCAGCAGCAGCAGCAGCATCATCATCATCCAGCATCATCATCGTCGTCGTCATCGTCATCGTCATCATCAGCATGATCATCAGCAGCATCAGCAGCATCAGCATCAGCATTATCATCAGCATCATCATCATCATCAGCAGCATCAGCATCATCACCATCGTCATCAGCAGCATCAGTATCATCAGCATCATCATGAGCCGCATCATCATAATTAGCAGTATCATAAGCATCATCAGCATCGTTATCATCATCAGCATGATGGTCATCATCATCAACAACATCATCATCGTCATCGTCATCATCATCAGTATCATCAGCATCAGCATGATCGTCAGCAGCAGCAGCAGCAGGGTCTTCATCATCGCCATCGTTATTGTCATCAGTATCATCATCATTATCAGCATCATCAGCATCAGCATCAGCATCAGCATCAGCATCATCATCATCATCAGCAGCAGCAGCATCATCATCGGCATCATCATCACCATCGCCATCACGATCATGATCATCAGCATCATCATCAGCAGCAGCACCATCAACATCAGCAGCATCAGCATCATCGCCAGCGTCAGCATAAGCATCATCATCAACATCATCATCAGCGTCATAATCAGCAACATCATCATAATCATCGTCATAATCGGCATCAAAATCACCATCACCATCACCATCATCATCAAGATCATCCTCACCATTATCATCAGCATCAATATCATACATATACAGGGTAGTTTAAATACATGGGAGTTTAAAAACTATACGCTATTTCTAACGTGTGACTAATTTATGAATTGATGTATGCATGAACCCATTGTTGTTGTTAATACTAAATCCCTGCATTTGTAATACATGATCCGCACGCGCAGCATGTATTAAAAGCGGTACTGTAATGATAATGATCAGCATCGTCATCACCATCATCATACTCATCATGATCAGTACCATCATCATCATAATATTCCTCAGCATCATCAGCATCATCATCGTCATCAGCACCAGCATCAGCATCATCACCAGCATGATCATCATCAGCAGCATCATCGTCATCATTATACTCAGCATCATGAATATCATCATCATCAACAACATCAGCAACATCATCATCGGAATCAGCAGCAGCATTATCATCATCATGATAATCATCAGCATCAGCGGCATCATCATCAGCATCGCCAGCATCACCATCATCATCAGCATCAGCAACACCATCGTCACCATGATCGGAGAGAGCGTGATCCACCGCCGCTTTACTGTGGAAAATTGCCGCCCTTCTCCTCTGGAACCCGGGGGTCCCCCCCCCCTCCGAAAATCCCATGCATACATGCATGCATACAACAGTACAACAAACATACATACACACATGAATACATACATACATGCACGCATGCATACATATATGCATGTATGCACACACTTATATATACATCCAAACATACATACAGGATTCGGCCTGCCCTAAGGAACGATGCGTAAAGAACGAAACCCCCTTGTACAAGGAAGACCAGGGAGGCTCGCCGCCCAAAAAGGTAGCAGAACGCATGAGAACCGAAGGAACGACCAAACCCCAATTTAAAAGTAAGTGTTCCTTATTCAAGCCGTTCACTGTACATGCATGCAAACACATATACATTCATAAATACATACATTAAAGTACAATCCACTACACTGCACTACCTTACCGTGCGTCATAGTTTACATACATACATGCATGCATGCATGCATACCTACATATAGATAGGTAAGCCTGGGGCACGTAAGCATACGAGTGAGCATCGCCACCAAGGCAACGAAGGCCTCGATTCGGCATCCCTCTCACGCCTCTCCTTCCCCATGCTCTCCCGGGGCACGAGAAAATCTAAGTAATCTGCGCCTCGAGAGCCAAGAAGGGCTCAATTCTAGACACCCCTCATGCATGTCCTGTGCGGGCTCAACAATCCTCATCTTCCTCATCTTCCTCATCTTCTTCCTACCCTCCCATCCTCCTCCTCCTCCACCACCACCTCCTCCTCCACTTCCTCCTCCTCCTCCTCCTCCTCCCTCCTCATCCCTCAGCCCTCCTCCTCCATCCCTCTCTATCCGCAATACCATCATCATCCCCCTCCCTCTATATCACCCTCCCCCACATCCTCCTCCACATCCTCCAGATTATACTCCCATCTCCTAACTCCCTCCTCCACTCCGCCTAATAATCCTCCTCTCTCTCATCTTCTCCCTCCCCTCCGCCCCTTCTCCTCCTCCACCATCACCTCTTCCTGCTCCTCCTCATCCCTCCTCCTCCCTTCTCATCCCTCATCCCTCCCCCTCCAGGACTCCTCCATCCTCATCCACCCTCATCCATCCTCATCACCATCATCATCAACCTCCTCCCTCCGCAGCAAGCTCCTCCACATCATCCTCCCCATCATCCCCCTGCCCTTCGCATCCTTTTCCCCCTTCTCTCCTCACACTGCTTCTCCTGCTCATGTCGTCATCCCGTCCAAAGCCGACGACGACGCCGCCGACGCCGACGCCGCTGTCGCCGACCTCGACATAGACGATATCGCCACCGAAGACGACGACGCCAACGACAACGACACCAACGCCGACGCCGACGCCGACGCCGAAGCCGACGTCGATGCCGACGCCGACGCCGACGCCGACCGCGACGCCGACGCCGACGCCGACGCCGACGCCGACGACGACGACGACGACAACGATCATTTTAAGAATGTTCACTCTTACTGGCACGCGTGTCTTGCATTCCTTATACCCCAACCCTCGATACCCGTCCACTTCGTCTTCGATTGCACCACCTTTCGGATGGAATATCTTCCTTGTCGGCACCTGACTGACATGCGAGGAAGTCTCGAGTTAGAAAGAACCGTTCCTGGAATACCTATGGAGAAATATCGAACGGGCACCCTTGTCGCCGTGTCCGGGCCTCCACTTGCCTAAATTACGAGAGAAAGTCTCGAGCGAGAGCGCCGTTCCTGAGTTCGGGGGCCTTCTTGGCCAGGGGCTCTCGGAGTAAATCGTGAGGAAGTATCGAGCAGGATTCCTTGTCGTCGTGGCTGGGCCTCCGCCAACTTGATTGAATTGCGAGGAAGCCTCGATCGAGAGCGCCGTTCCTGAAATCGGGGGCCTCTCTGGCCAGGGTGTCTCGGAGTAAATTGTGAGGAAGTATCGAGCGGGAGCCGATGTCGTCGTAGCCGGGACTCCAAGGGCCCACATTTGCAGGCTCAAGCCAACGCTCGAACGGGAGCCTCGATTTCAGAGAAAATGTAGCCCGCGTCAAGAGCGCGCGGAACCGTTTTCGGAGATCAACAACAATTATTCGTTAGAAAAGAGTATTCAACGACAACGACAACGACAACGATGACGACAACAACGACGACGACGACGACGACGACGACGACGGCAGCGGCGGCGGCGGCGGCGGCAACGGCGACCACGCCAACGCTGACGACGCCAACCTCGACGCCGACGGCAACTGGGGAAACTCCCTGGACCTCTCGCGGAGTGCGTTCTGGCAAGAATTTCAAGGAGAATCCAGCCGTGGCGACGAAGGCTCTCCAGGACGAGCAGCGGTACTGGTACCTTGGAGGTCCTAAAACCGTGTGGTGACAGACCGCGCGGTGACCTCGGAGTCCCAAGAGACCTCACCGCACGGTCCGTCGACGCACGGTCTTGGGACCCTGGAGGCCCCGCCCCAGTCGCCCGAGACGTCCTCGGAGAACGACCCGAGTCCCAAAACCGTGTGGTGACCACGAATCCCCACTGACTCACCTCACGGTGTGGTCACCGCACCGTCTGGGGGCCCCCGACCCTCGTCCTCCTCTGGAAAAATTGCAACATCGCAGAAAACTGCAACCGAAGCCCTGGATCCCATCTTACTTCGGCATCTCTCGAGGTGGATCGACCTGTGATAAATCCTGGGACCCGAAAAAGGCGAAACCACCTGGTGTGGACAAAAAATGCAGCGCCAGGATCCTGGTACCAGGCCCTCTTCCTCCTCCCAACGCCGACGACGACGCCCGCGACGAGGACGCCGAGCGGCACCTTCAGCCGGCGCTGGCCGGAGAGGCTTCCCTCCGGCGCCGGCTGCGCGCGGCTCGGCGGAACTCCGGCGTCGGCGCCGGCGGCGTCCTGTGCCCGCGGTCGGCAGCGGCGCTGTCGGAGAGAAGCCAGGCAGCTGCTGAAGCTGCGGAATCCTCAGACACGCTCGCGTCGTAGAAAAAGCAGCCGCGGAAGGTTCTTGGCCATTTTCGGCCTCTGGGGGCCCTCGCCAGGCCTCGGGACTGTCACAAAACGACTCGGGATGAAACAAAAAAAACTGGGGAAAGGGTGGACGGTTGCCCCCGGAGCCGTAGGCAACCCGAGGAGGGGAGGGCGAGGGGGGGGAAGAGGAGGAGGAGGAGGAGGAGGCGGAGGAGGAGGAGGAGGAGGAGGAGGAGGAGGAGGAGGAGGAGGAGAGGCAGGAGGACGAGGAGGAGGAGGAAGAGGATGAGGAGGAGGAGGAGGACGAGGAGGAGCAGGAGGAGGACGACGAGGAGGAGGAGGAAGAGGAGGAGGAGGAGGAGAAGAGGAGGAGGAGGAGGAGGAGAAACAGAAAGAGGAGGAGGAAGTGGAGGAGGAAGAGGAGGAGGAGAAGGAAGAGGAGGAGGAGGAGGAGGAGGAGGAGGAGGAGGAGAGGAGGAGGAAGGAGGAGGAGGAGTGAGGAGGAGGAGGAGGAGGAGGAGGAGGAGGAGGAACAGGAGGAGGAACAGGAGGAGGAGGAGGGAGAGGACGGGTCGCCTAAGCTTTTCGGAGAAACCTTCCAGCAAAGTGTCGGGACTTCTTCTGGATCGGTGGCTCGCGGCGGCGTCGCCCGAGAGCGAAAGGGGAGAGGGGGGGGACCCTGAGATCCAGGCCTGGCCATTTTTTCACGCCAGGCGTCTTCGCCCGGCCACGACACGCCGATCCGGCGCTTAAAATGCGGCGGAAACATAGGTTCTGGGGCTCCAGTCGAGCTTTTCCGCAACGTCTTGTGTCGCAACGTCCGATCTCAGGGGGGGCAGCAAGAGGAGGGAGGAAGAGGAGTAGAGGGCGTAGAACTGTTTTAGTTATACGCCCTCCCTGGTGGCAGAACGCCGCCAGGGGGGGGGCGCGGCAGCGTCTGTTTGACGGACCCCAGTGCCATCAGAGTCCCAGACAGTTGATCGCGCGAGCGCGAGCGCGAGGAAGAGGGGCAGGAGGAACAGTGGGAGGGAGAGCAGAAGCAAAAGGGAGGGCGGAGGGGAGGGGGGAGGGAAGAGGAGGAAGGGAGGGAAGGAGGAGGGAGGAGAGAGGTGGGAGGAAGGTGGGACGTCGAAGGTGGGAGTAGGCAAGGCTACCCCTGACCTCCACCACTCCTCTCGGTGCTTGTTCTCGGCCACCTCCTCCCCTTTCGCAATCTCCACATCATACCACGACTCATCATCCTTACCAGCCTCTTCGTCATTCACAGAAACATCTGAACAACCCAAGACATAGTCACGAACCCTTAGTCTAGAGGTCAGCAGACTGGAGTAAGCGGAATCACAAACCATCACGGATAGAGACATGATCCCGGGGGAACGAGTCGGACGGACAAGTGCGACAGCAAGGAGGAGGCAGGAGATGGGGAAGCGGGAAAAAGCAAACGAGGAAGAGGAAGGAGTGGGGACCTCCAATGGCGAGGAGCAGCAGGGAAAGGTCAACGACTATGATGAGGAGGCGCGGGATGAGGACGAATAGGGGCAGAAGCGAGAGAAGCGAAGGGTGTGCAGAAGGACGAAGAAGAAAACAAAAGCCGCAATCCGAATCATCCATGCTCCTCCTCCTCGCTATCATCTCCCGCTCCCCTCCTCCTCCAACTCCCGGTCGGTCCTCTGCGCAGGAGGACGAGGAAGACGAGGGAGAAGGCAGGGGAGGAAAAGGAAGAGGAGGGGGAGGAGCGGGACGACGACAAAGATGGCGACGGACGAACAAAGACGAAAGACGACGAAAGACGACGACGGAGGACACCGGAGGACGACGACGACGACGACGACGACGACGACAACGACGGCGACGACGACGAGCGGCGACCTGCCAAAGGCCATGGAAGGCGCATTTCCTCCGTTCGCGCTGCTGGCGGGGCTGATGCGCTTGCTCCGAAGAGCCGCGTGCGAGCCGATAATGGGCGAAACGGCAGGTCAGCTGCCAGCCTGGACGAGGCTCTGCGCCCCCGCGCGGTGGCAAAACGTCGAGGACGCGCACGCTTGAACAAGATGGTGGGGCCTGGAAACAGTCTTGGCTGAGCAGGCGGCGGCGTGCACAGCTGGCGGGAAAGGCGCACAGAACCTGGAGCGGATGGCCGAGCCTGTCCAGAGCTCCAAAAAGCATAGAGGGTGCCAACGGAACCCTGCGGTTCCGTTGGCACCCTCCCTACGCATTTACCTGCAATCGCAAATCTCTGCGAATTCCATTGTATTCCGCCACAAAGGGAATCCTTTTGTATTCTGCCACAACAGGAATCCGTTTGTATTCCGCCACAAAGGGATTTTTTTTGCATTCCCTCCCAAAAGGGATCCTGTTGAATTCCGCCACAAAGGGAAGTCTGTTGATTCTGCAGTGTGGCAGATATCAGATGTTTGCGTTGTTACACTTGGATCATGTTATGATTGCTTGGTCATGCGATGACAGGTGGAATACATTGCATTCCACAGTCAGCGTTCCCGCTTGATGTAAATACCCAGGCGAACTGCATCACACGTTGGCTTAATGCCTCGCCCTACGTGGCAATCACGCGCATGCCTGCAAGTGAGGCCTCATGTTGTACGTGCGTGTGTGTGTGTGTGTGTCTGTGTGTGTCTGCGTGTGTAGTGTCTATGTGTCTGCGTGTGTTGTGTTGTATTGTGTTGTGTTGTGTAGTGTAGTGTAGTGTAGTGTAGTGTAGTGTAGTGTAGTGTAGTGTAGTGTGGTGTGGTACGGCGTGGCGTGGCGTGGTGTGTTGTGTTGAGGTGTGTTGTGCAGTGTTGTGGTGTGGTGTGCTGTGTTAGATGGTACTGTGTTGTGTTGTGTTGTTGGTTTGTTCGTTTGTTTGTTTGTGCTTGCGTGCGTGCGTGGGCGGGCGGGCGGGCAGGTGCGTGTGTGTGTGTGTGTGTGTGTTGGTTTGCTTGTGTTTGTGCCTGTGTTGTACAAAGCTACGGCGCATACAAATTGCAAGCGGTACGCGTCCTTTTCTTCGCTCAGTTGTTATGGGCACCCCTTGTTCATCTGCTTGGACGTCCACGGGTCGAATGAGGCGTATGCCAAGAGGGGCGGAACCATCACGGGCTCATATGTAGATCAACTCCACACGGAATCAGCAAACACTCATTGCTCAGACCTGTGGTGAGTTATCGGCCGAACCAATTCCCGAACTACATCTCACACCATTCCCCTCCAAATGCCCGTTTTCCTCCTCCTTCTCCTCCGCCTCCTCCTCCTCCTCCTCATGCTACTGCTTCTCCTCCTCCTCCTCCTCCTCCTCCTCCTAAAGAACACACGCAAGCGAAGGAGAAACGAGGAGCAAGACGAACAGATGTTCAGGAAAAGGAGGAGGAGGAGGACGCGACGAGCGACAAGGACGACGACCAGGACGGCGACGACGACGACGACGACGACGAAGGCTGCGGCGACGGCGATGAAGACGAGAGGTCCTCTGGCGTTGCGTCGCCCAGCGTCGCCCCCTGCCCCAGGGCCGCCTGTGCCACTGGCACCGTCGCAGCCTCCTGGCGGAGGGAAAGGGGCGGGGGGGGGAAGGAGGGGGGCGGGAGGGGAAGGCAGGAAAGGGCAAGAGCGAGGAAGGGAGCGGAGAGGAGGGAGAGAGAGAGCTAGAGGACGACGAAGGTCGACAACGAAGGCGTTGAGATCTATGCCGAGGTCGACACGAGACGCAAGACGAGATCCACGACGACGAGACATACGGCGACGTGGCCAAGTCGACGTCACGTCGACGACGACGACGACGACGACGCTGCGACGACAACGACGACGACGCTGACGACGACGACGACGACGCTGACGACGACAACGGCGACGACGAATTCGACGACGACGACGACGACGACGACGACGACGACGCAGCGGCCTCGGCGGCCGCCGGCGCGGGCCCCGCGCCGCCGCCGCCCGCGGCGGGGGCGGGGCTCGGCGGCTCGACCTGGCGGCCCGCGGGGCGCGGCGGGAGCCGCCGCGCCCGCCCCGAGAGGAGGAGGGAGGGAGGAGGAGGAGGAGGAGGAGGAGGAGGATCAGAGGAGGAGGAGGAGGAGCAGGAGGAGGGAGGAGGAGGAGGAGGGAGGAGGAGGAGGAGGAGGAGGAGGAGGAGGAGGAGGAGGAAAGGAGGAGGAGGAGGAGGGGGAGAAGGAGGAGCAGAGGAGGAGATTTCCGAGATTTCCCCCCAGGACGACGTCCCCTCCCTGCCTGCCTGCGGGCCAGCAGGGGCGGCGGCGGCCGCGGGCCTCCTCACGGCCTCTCAGGCCTCGCCGCAGGCCTCCTTGGGGCCGCAGGTCTCCACGTCCAGGATGAAGTTGCACTTCATCATGGCCTTGTCCGTGTACGAGGGCTCGTTGCCGTCGCACTTGTCATAACCATCCCAATGTTGGTACGTCCTTCACAGTGCTGTCGTCGTGCACACGGTGCTGAGCAGTCGGTGCTGGCGTCATACTGTGCTGCGTAGTGCTAGTTCGTGCTCGGTGCCGTCGCAGCCCTTGCAGCACTACTTGAAGATGCTGGAGTCGTCGTAGCTGTGTTCGTTGGTTGTTCGTTGGCGTGCTTCCTTCTTGCTCTTACCACATAGTCGGCTCTTGACTTAGGTGGGGGTGGCGTACACTCCTGTCCAAGCATCTCCGAAATTTAGTGCTTCGCCACACTGCCACACTTGTAGCAATAGTAACCTTGGTCCCGCTTGTGCCATTCCATCTGGTGGGAGCTGTGTGCTTGGCGTCCTTTGAGTGTTAGTGGTGGCTTCTTAGCTGTCGTCGCGCTGCTGCATGGGGAGAGGAGCCACCATCTTGCTGTCGTACTTCGTCGGCGCAGGACTGACTGCGCACATGCCCTGCAGCGCCACCCCGTTGGAGTCTGTTGTACTTGGTGCAAGCTTTGTGTCGCCAACTGGTCCAGCGTTGGTGCAGGTGGTCTTTGTAGTTTGGCTTCTCTCCTTAGCTTTGCTCGATCCTCCCAGTTCATTGGTGGTCGTCTTTCCATGCTGTCCAGAGTGGCTTGTGTGATGCGCTGTCTGACTAGGTTGCCTATCGCTCGCACCCACTCGTAGCATCCGAGTTGTGCTGCTGGTATGGCGTGCTCTTCTGCTGCTTTGTCGGCTTGTTCGTCTGCCACTCTGTTGCCGAGCCACGCCCATTCAGGGATATCTCTTCGTCGAGCGTCTTCCCATTCGAGGTGGCTCTGCATATGTCGTATCGTGATGGATTCGCCCCCTCCTCCCCGGTGGTCGACGGCGTCCTTTATCCTCATCCAGATGTCGTCGTTGCCGAAGTGGTACTTTCTAGTCCTGTGCCGTCTACGTCTCCAGTTCTTCGCCAATACTTCAGAGTCTGTCCAGTAGATGATGGGACCCTGCGAGTTCTGCAACACGCTGAGTAGTGCCCACATCTCCGCTCGGTTGTTCGTCTGTCTGGGTCCAGGTAGTGGACCCCGCAGAGTTGCTCGTACAGTTGTGTTGCCCATGCAAGCCCATCCCCATCCGCACCTGCGGCACCGTCGGTCCGCCGACATGGCTCCTCCGCTGCCGTCACCGCAGAAGTGTAGTGGGGCGTCGTCTGCGATCAGTTGTCCGTGCAGTTTGTCGCCGTCGCAGGTGTGCGAGGGTTCCGTAGTGCATGGTGGTGGGCAGGACATGGGTCGTGGGGTGATGCCTCTGAGCCAGAAGGCTGCGTTCGCCTCGATGCCCTCCTTTGCTCGCTCCTTGAGGTGCCCTGTTCGTTCGTATATGATGTGCTGTCTTCTTTGTGTGCAGTCCCCCAGATGCGGCGGTAGTCGTCGTCAGGTGCTCCACATTCGCATAGGTTGGACGTGCCGTAGGCGTCTGCGATGCGCTGCCGTGGCCAAGTCCCAGCGCATGCAGCAGCCAAGAGTGCTCCGCGCCGTTGATGTTTGCCCCGTCGGTCGAGGTGCTGGAGGTGGCTGATGCGGTCTTGCACGTCTGCGCCGTTCTCGAGGCCGCTGCCGTTGTGGTGCTTGCTGGCATGCCTCCATTGCTGGAGCTCGACCTGGCTGGTCAGCGCGTCGATGACGTCGGTTGGGTCTCCGTGTGCGTCCTCCTCTTTGAGCAGCCACCCGTCGCCCTGGGGGTCATTCCAGTAGTCGGCGCGCTGAGGGTCCCAGCCCAAGTCCTTCAGCGTGTTGATGAGTGCGGCGATGATGCCGCGTCTGCGTTGCCATCGTAGATCATGTGGTTGTTGCTGCAGTCTGGACTTGATCTTCGGCCACGCTCGTCGAATACGTTGTCGTACTTCGTGTGATGCTGTCCACATATCAAACCATGCTGTAAATTGTGCTTTAATACTAGATACCTCTGGATCTGTTCCTTCAACTGCGATGAGGGTTGTCAGGCATCTGCCTGGCCAAGCTCGTCGAAGTGCTCGTGCGTAGTGTCGCCGTGTCTGCAGTCTCTCGTTGGGCGATGCTCCGTACGCCTTGGCTCCGCACAGCAGGGGTGACATGGCTCCTTGGGCCAGCACTCCTCTCACTCTGCTTCGCCTGGCCCTTCTGAAACGGACACGGACCAGGTTCATTCTCACCCAAGCCTTCTTTTTGCGTGCATGCCGCGCCCGTCGTAGCGCGCATGTACGGCTGCCCCTGTCGATGCCGAGGTCACGCCCTTCAGTGCAGCCGTCGATGTGGATGTTGAGGTCCGCAAGTCGTTTGATGATCTCCTTGGCGTCCTTCATGTGCGTCGTGATGATGACTGACTTTGCTGCAACCTCAAGTCCTTGCTGTTGCAGTGCTTCGCGTAGCGTCTTAGTCGAGCCGACGGTGTCTCGCGCCAGGGTATCCTTGGAACCGCACAGCTGGACACCGATGTCGTCCAACCATGTTCCCGGCTGGGCCTTCGTAAGTTTGCTGCTGTACTGTCGTAGGACGACGTAGATCAATGCTCTCGCGAGGTTGTTCGAGCGCCTGGCTCCTGCCAAAATGGGGCGGCTTGCAAATATCGGCTCGCTGTAGCAGCCGCTGAGGCGCAGGAATCGCACCGAGAGGTGCATCTGCATGGAGAGCGCGAGGATCCTGCTGGGGAATCCGAATTGGCATGCGGCCATGGCGATCTTGGAGAAACTGAGCGAGTCGTAGAACCTCTTGATGTCGAGGAGCGTTGTCGCTGCCCGAATACTGTAGGTGTCCGCGACCTCGCCTCCCAACGCGCGCAGCATGGCTTGTCGTAGGCAGCTGTTGCCCGCGACCGCTGCATCCCAAGGTTCCTCTATCTCTTTAGCCCATAGTCGTATCCTGTCCCGATGCATGAGCTCCCAGGTTCTGCAGATCCAATGCAGTAGTGCCAATGCGCGGTCGCCTCCGTCAGCGAGTGCGCTTGCTCCTTTGGCCGCGGCTGGTTCGGGCTGGATCATGACGATGGACTGGGGAGCTTGCCACGGCCATGTCACGTCTCGTTCGATGGTGTTCAGTAGCTGGACTATCTCGTCTCTTCCTGCTGCTGGTAGTCGCCGGGCGTCGCTAGTGTTGAGTCGGTCCGCGCCTCGTCCCTTGCCGGGTATGCCGACGATGGCCTCGTCGAATTGCTCTCTGCTCCATGCCGTGGTTGGGGCCGTCAAGGCCTGTTCTCGTAGGTCCTTGAGCAGCGGGGTGTGAGTGATGTGGTCGCCGTGGGCGTCGCTCCAGATGTTGCTGAACGTCGTATGCTTGAGGTCTGTGCGCTCAATCGTGGAGGTCGCTGCCACTGTGCCTTCGATCATGTCGTCTTCATGTCGCATGCTGGGTTTAGTCATGCTGTGCATGGTGCCGTTGTCGCAGCTGTTGGCTAGCCAAGTCGTGTAGTCGCGCGCATTGCATCTCAAGTCACGCTTGATCGCTTGGACGGCTTCTTGCGCTGCTTGAGTAGCCATGCCCTCGATGGTGTCGGTGGCTACGCCCTGGATGTTGATGAGTCGGTCTCTCCAACATGCTCGGTGCAATATTGCGGTGCCGGTTGGTTTGGCTCCTGCAGATGGCACACCGTCAAGCGCAAGGTGTCGACAAGAAGCTTCCAGGGCGTGTACTTCATCGTGTCCGACTCCTCTTTGTCTTAGACGGTGCAGCGCCGCGAGGGAGGATTCTGCGCGAGCCCACCAGTTGGCCGTGCATGTAGCATATATTGGTCGCCGTATCCCTCGTTCCTTTTGGATGTGTTGCTTGAGCTGGTAAGGCTGTCCTCTACCTCTGTAGCGCTTCTGTTCGCTCTCGTGGATGCTGTTTGCCTTGCAATAGAAGCTCTCCATGCGTTGCATAAGCGTGTGGAAGGTGTGGCTGGCATCGTGGTGGGCTTCATGAATTGCCAGGTATGCTGCGCTGTCCGTGATGCATGTGGGTGCTGCAGTCTCAGTAAAAGTGTTGTGGTCGTTACCGATCTCGCCCCAGAGCTCGTGCATGGTTCTGGTGTCGGCGTCGGGCGATTGTGCTGGTCGTTGCTTCTGCTCGTCCTTCTGCTCGTCCTTCTTGTTCGCGTAGTAGTATTCGAGCTCGCTGTCGTTGTCGCACTCTGCTTCGATGGGTACGCCTTCGGCATTCCCCTGATCTCGCGGCGGGCCCTCCCCGTCCATGTCGTCGCCCAAGGGGTCGGCGTTAGCTTCTTCGAAGTCCATGGGGTCGAAGTCCTCGTCCATTGTAGATCTGGTTCTCATGCCTGCTGCTGTCGTCGTTGTCGTGCTTGGATGTCTTGCCCAGTCATTCGGCGACAGTGCCCCCCATCTTTGGTTCGTGAAATCGTCATCGTCGGAATTGCTGACTTGTGTGGTGTTGTTCTTGCAGTTGTTGCTGCCTTGTGTGCTGGTGTGCGATTTCTTCTCGTGCTCTGCTCGCTGCCGTTGTCGCTTGCCCTGGGGGTCTGGTGGTTGTTGAGGTAGTCGCGGGTGTCGGAATGGATGCGGCATGGTCAGCTGCCGAGTGAGATTCATCGCGGCCTCTCCCTTCAGCGCGATGACCTGGCCGATGCGCGGCCCCCATGGGACGTCGCTGACTGGTTTCAATGAGTGCATGTGCTGTCTAGCCGAAGGGCTGACCACCAGGTAGTCAATGAGCGATGGCGTCGCGCCCCCCTTGAAGCAAGTGGCCGCCTGCTCGCCGATGGTGAGAATGATGCCTCCTAGCGCTTCTGGCCAACCTGAGGCGTTGAATGCTGATGGTGCGACGCTGAAGTCACCTGCCAATATCCAAGGCAGATTCAGCATACGCAAAAACTGCCCGATCTCCTTCAGCCTGTCCGCGTTGGTGCCTGACTTGAGGGGCTGCTTGGTCTCCAGGTAGACACTGATGACTAAAATGGAGTAACCCTTCATATGCCAGAGCATCGGGATCCAGTCTGCGAAGTTGAGGAGCTCGGCCTTGGCGAGAGGCGGCGCGCCTGCCGTCGAGGACGACGCGCTGCCCTTCACTGCCATATCGCGGAAAAACTTGGTTCTGAAGTTGTTCTTCACCATTGCAGTCACCCCGCCATGGGGGCCCCTCTCCGATGTCCTCGACTGCCGCGAAGCTGAAAAAAAAAGCTTTGAGCCCCACCTTTGCGAGGGTTGTCTCGATATGCTGGAGCTCGCGGTGCTCGAGATGCGTTTCCTGTAACAAGTAGACGTCGTGAAGCGACCGCCCGCTGGGTCGGTGCGCTAGTAGACCATCCCGCAGCCCCTGAGTTACCTTCGGTCCCCATGTAGTGATATTGCCAACAAATATTGATCGCTGACCCGGGGTGGCCGAGCGGTTGGCTGTCATGCCACCCCGCAGTCGCTTCTAGTTGGGCACAGGCACAGCAGCGGACAACTTCCCCTCGCGGATCTGGCGGGGGAGCTCATCTCGCTGCTCTGGTGTTGTAGGGGCCCCTTCAGCGGGCGACGGCGCTGGCGTACTCGAAGGTGTGCTTGCCGACGCTGCTGAGGATGCGGCTGTCTGCTGCTGCTGCTGCTGGTCAACTGCTGCTGTCTTGCGTTTCTTGGCCCCCCTGAGCCTCGTCACGTCGGCCATGGCCTTCGCCTTGGCCTCGTCTATGCGCGCCTTGATCTGGCCCGCGCAGGTCTGCGCTCCCGTCTGCAGGTCTCTGATGGCCGCCTGCTTGGCCGCCAAGATCTCCATCTTCAGCTCCTCGTCCTCGTCGCCCTGCAGCATGTCCTCCATGTCCAGGTCGATGACCCCGTTCTGCTGCAGCTCGTGCTCGGAGGAGTGCAAGAGCTGCCCCATGAGACTCTTCGGCTTGCCCTCCATCAGGATCTCGTTCAGGTTGGCCGTCGCCTGCTCGAGCGCCTCGCCCTTCTCGATCATGTCCTCGCACGCCTTCGCGACCAGCCCCTGCAGTCGGCCGTGCTCGTCGCAGGCCTTGTGGAACTCGTCGTAGGCAACCCCCTGCGCCTTCGCCGCTGCAGTGCATCGTAGTTTTGCAGGTTGTTGAGGTTGCAGGGGCTGGAGCGTTTGGGCGAGCGTCGTCAACTGTGTGCCCAGCGCTGTCACCGCTGCATTGGCACCCAAGCCCATCTGCTGGAGTTGCTGACCCAGTGTCGTCATCATCTTCGTCATCTCCTGCGTCTGGTGCTGGTTGCTGCTGCTGCTGCCGCTGCTGGTCTCGCCGCCCTGCTGGCGCTCCTGCTCTTTGATATAGTTCGGTTTCCTGGCCAGCTCGTTGCAGTGCCAGCATTTCCATCCGTTCTTGGCCAAAGTGCTGTCGTAGGTCCACTTGCTGCAGCTGCGGCACACGGAGTACTGCGACCCGCCTCGGCGAGCCATCACGATGCCGTCGGTGGTCGGCGGGCTGCTGCCGTGGTGCCGTTCAAGTCTGCGTCGGTCTGCGTCTGCCCGCAGGCGGCGCCTGGACGCGGCGCGCAGGCGCCGCTCCCTGCGGTGCCACGCGGGCGAGGGAGGCCGCCTCTGGCCTCGGCGGCCCTCCGTGGGCCTGGGGGCTCCCGTATTGCGCGGGCCGCCGCCGCGCCGCCGCCGGGGCAAAATGCTGCGCGGGGGCGGGGCGGGGCCACGCTGGGGAGCCACCTGAGGAGCAGAGGAGGAGGAGGAGGAGGAGGAGGAGGAGGAGGAGGAGGAGGGGGAGGACCAGGAGGAGGACGGGGAGGAGGAGGATGAGAAAGAACAGCGTTAACCCAAGACGCATCAATGACGTTGGAAAACACTGTCCCTGCAGTTCCCTCTTCACATAGGCCGCTACAAAATTTCTTTTCCATTGAGAGGTTCGTCCCGTTGGAAAGCCACCGTGCGAGAGTTCTGACGCGTGCCAAATCACGACGCTTAGGATTTCAACGCAACGAATCAATCTCGTTTTTTTGCAAAACAAATTCCTCCCCCAACAATCCGCATCACCCCAAGGGGGCTTCGACCATGACGGCAAGCCACGAGAACGACTGACGAGCAACGTCGCTCCCCGCGGCATGGCCATTGCCAAAGGCCGAAATGCGGAAGGCACCAGAGCAAAATGAACAACGAGAAACTATACTGATACAAGTCGGGCCCGGAATCGTATCACAACGAAGCGCTACGGACAACAACCAGAGCGGTTGTCCTGCGAACGTGGCCGGAATTCGGGGCGGAGAAAGAGCAGTGCGGATGCTGTGAATTACCCTAGACGGTCGACGCCAGAAGAAAAACTGGCAAGGCAAGGCCTCATCGCGAGGATAGGCCGGCACGCCCAACATTAAAAGGAGAAGAGGGAGACAAAGGAAGGAAGGAACGAGGGAAGGAGGAGGAGGGGGAGGGGAGAGAGGCTGATACAAAATGCCCCAGATTCGTATCATCTGGACGCGTGCCCTGCGCCACGGAGAAAATAAACCGCACCGCGGCGGGGGAATCCTCGCAGCAAATCGCACGGGATTGAATTACACAGTTTCAACCCCACGGAGACGGAGGAGGAGGGAAAGGACAAGGTGGGAGGCGCTATCAAATAAATTGCTCCAATACGACTACGAGTTAGCACATTCACGGCGCCGCCCGCCGTCACGTCACTGGCCCCCTCGGCCAGCCTCGTCCGCCTCCGCCTCCGCCTCCTCTTCCTCCAGCGCCGGCAGCTTGGCGTCGTCGCCCACTGCCGGCCGCACTCCACGCGCCAGCACCTCCTGGCGCTGCCCCCGGGCTGGCAGGACCGCCCGCAGCATGGCAGCCTTGCGCCGCTGCAGCGCTACTGCCAGCTCGTGCCGCCAAAAAATATGTTGCACTAACAATTAACCAAATAAAAACAAACATAATAACTATTTAAAACTATTAGCTATATAAATCATTCTTTTGTTTTTCATTGGCACCGGGCCTGCAGCTCCGCTGCCGCCTCCGACCCCCGCCTCGTGCGCACCATGCGCACCGCGCAGTCCATGGCGCGCGCTGCGGCAGGGCGCGGGCGCCCCTTCGCTGACCACACGGCAGGCTGGAAGACGACGCCAGCGCGTCGAAGGGCCGGGAGCATGTGCGAGTAGCGAGTCATCTTCCGCATGTAGGCGGCAGCGCAGGCGTCCGCGCCTGCGCCCAGCGCTTCCGGGGCCGCCACGGCGACGTCGATGGCAGTGCGGACCCCTGGGGGCGCCCCCCATGGTCAAGATGTCGGCCGGCCGCTCTCCCGAGGAAACGAGGCCGCGGACCTCCGCGCGCAGGGGCGGGTCCGCCAACGCCTTGCCGTCGGCCAGGGCGGCCACCACTGCGCAGTGGCCCCGTGCGCTCTCGGCGGTGGCGCAGCAGGTGGAGTGAGCGGCGGCACTGCCCAGTGGCTCGCCGCATACCGCGCACTGCGCCTCGTCGCCTGAGACCTGCGCGGCGCCGAGGCGGCTGCCCACCGCAATCAAGAAGTCGTCCTCCGCCGAACGGGAGCCGTCGCGTGGGTTGATTTTCCGCAGCCAATCATGGCACGTCTGCGGGTGCAGGAGCTCGTTGGCGCGTCGAGCCGCCCTGTCGACCTCCTGCTCCAGCCTCGGGGGGAACCGGGCCAGCGCCGCCGACTCGACGAGCAACCCCAGCTCCCGCTGCACGCGTTGGCTGGTCGAGGCGCGCGGGCTCGGACTGCCGCCAAAGTCACGCGGCCCCGCCCGCAGGTGCCGCGAGCTGAGGGCGGGCCCACTCCGGCGCCACGGCCTCCTCCGGGAGCATCGGCCCGGAGCTGCCGCCAGTCTGCGGCCGCGCGCTCGGCGGTCCGCCGGACAAACTCCTCGAGGTAGGGTTTGTCCATGTCCTCCAGCTGAGAACTGGCCAGAATCTGGGGTTCGGATCGCGCCCGGTCTAGCTCCCCCATCACCTCCTCCGCCGGCATGAGGCCCGCTGCCTTGCAGGCGTCGGCCATCTCCTTGACCTGCGGCCGCGCCGTGATGAGCGAGGCGAGGTTCGCGGACGCGGCTATTCTCTCAGCGCGGCACAGACCCACTCCTGCCAGGCCTGCTGGCCGAAACGCTAGGTCAAGGCCGTCATCAGTTACGCCCGGCATGAGTCTCAAAAGGCCTTCCTCCTGGACCTTGTCGAAGGCTCGGAGCGCCTCTCCACGTGCTGCCAGCTCCACGCCGCCGGCCCGCAGCAGGTGGTTCACCTCGTCCCCGGGCAGGTCCGCAGAAAGTTCCGCTCAACCTGGGCGCCCCGGCACAATGGGAGACGGCGGGGCGGGGCGCCCACGATCTCCGTCTTCTCCTGGAACTGTCGCACCACTGCGCCGCTGCTGGACGTCTCGGCGCCGAGCGACAGCAGGGCGCCCGGGCCGACGGACACGTCGGCGAGCTCGCGGAGGCGAGCGAGTTGCCACTCATCAGCGCGCTGATCTGCCTGGGCCTGCGCGCATAGCAAACTCACCGTGGTCTTCTGAACGTTCTGCTCCCACGAACGGGCCGCCCCTGTCAAAAGCCTCCAAGAATGGGGCCGCCAGAGCCGGGCGCGCGACGACAGCGCTGTCGTCTAAGTACCTGTAGTCAGCCAATCCAGAGCCGGCCGCGATGCGGTTGCCCAGGCGCTGCCAATCTGGAGGACGGCGTCCATGGGCGGTTTCTCGTCTGTCCAGCCTGCCAAGCCCCGAAGTCAACCTCCCACTGGAAGAAGTCCCTGCGCGCTTCCCCTCGGACGCCAGGCGAGGTCTGGAGCTGCGCGCATAGCTCCCTGCGAGCGTCCCGCGCGACCGCCCCCTGGACTATGCTAGCCTCGAGTGGCGCGTCCACGCCGCCTTGCCCAGTTCCTCTGTCCAGCTGGTGGTGGGGCGCCTCTGCCTGGTGGACGGCCGTGCCCCCAGCGCGCTTCCACGCCAGAGCCGCCCCCCGACGCGGGAAGGCGCGCTGGATCGGCCGGGCCTTCGGCTGGGCGGCCACGGCCCCAGCTGCCGCGTTCGGCGTCGACTGGATGGCGCCACCGCGTTCCACGCGACCCCCTGCCCCTGCCAGCTCCCGCGCGACCTCGCCCGAGCGGCCCTCGTGCGTCAGTGCCGCGGCTTGCTCGCGCGCGGGCAGCTCGACGATGCCGCCGAGGACGCCCTGCCACTGCTGCGGCGCTAACATGCACATCTCCTCGCCGAGGGCCTCGCGCAGCACCGCCTCGCAGCCGCCCGGCCCGATGGCAGCGAGCAGCTCCACGACCTCATTCTCGCCGCGGCGGGGCAGCAGACCCTGGGCGTCGACCTCGGCAACGACCTCCTCCTACAGGGCATCCACGAGCCACTCCTGATCTGCATCGCGCACCTCCAAGCCCCCCTTCTCCTTGGAGAGCCAGAGCAAAGATGCGCCCATGAGCCGCCCGGCGGCGCGCGGCAGCGCTCCTGCCGCCCATGCCGCGGTCGAGCGGTCCAGGGCGCGCTCGAAGCGCTTCCGGGGCCCGTGCTCCTTGCTCGCCATGCAGCCCTGGAGACGTTCGCATCGCTCTCCGCTGCCAGCCGGGGCGGTGGGGGCTGGGAAGCTAGCCCAAGGCAGGGGCCTGTCACCTGCGAGTGCCTGCTGTGCTGATATCAGCTCCTTTTTTTCGCTGCTGCCACGCCCCCCCCACCCCAGGCCCCTGCCCTGCTTGCCTCGCGCTCCTGGGCGGAGGAGCATGGGCAGTGGCCCGTCTCCGACGCTGGGAGAAACAGCGGGGCCCGGGCGGCCTGCTCGGCCGCGCTCGCCCCGACCTGCCCACCCGTAAACTTCTGCACGGCTTCGGAGCAGGCGCCGGCACGCGCCGCCCTCCGCGCAGCTGCACCCCGCGACAGTTCATCGATAGACGCGTCGCGTTGGTCCCGCGTCGGGCACGATGTTCTCGGATGCGCTGGGCCGCTGCTGTTTATCTGTCAAGTAGCTCCCCGAACCCCCCTGCTTCCCAAAGCCGCAGCCTGGCCTTCAGCTCAGTCGGGACGCCCACGTCACGCTCGAGCGCGCCGAACAGCAGGCGGCGTCGGTAGCTGGCCAAGATGCTCCAAGCCTCGTCGTCGTCAAGCGCGTCCTCGATGGACTCAGCCCATGTTGCAGCAAACTGGGCAGCGGATGCCACTGACACATGCACCTCGGTATTCCTGGAGATGGCTGCACATCGGCGGAGCATGTTCGCTGGCAGGTGGACTGCGCGTCGTCGCTGCTGCTGCGACGACCCGCCGCTGGGAGTGGGCCCCCAGGAGTCGACGGCCAGCGCGCGCGTCAAGGTCCGGCGGCGGCATCGCTGCGTCTTCGCCGGGGGCTCCGCCATCCGGCACTCCTGGTCCCCCTCCCTGGTTGGGGCTCTGCTGGGAGGGCCCTGCTGGCGCGCCCTCGGCGTCGCGAGCCGCGTGGCCCCCGGTGACATCGCCTCTTCGCACTGCGCGCTGGCGGGCCCCACACCCACATGGACAACACCAGTTCGACTTATGATCCAGGAGAGATCCACATTCCACGCATGCGACTTTCCCCAGGTGCTGCAGCTGCCACGCGAGTCTCTTCTCCACCTCTCCCCCCCGTTGCTGGTTGCAGAGGTGCTTGAAGAGCCTTCCGGACGTGGCGGTTGTGAAATCGCATAGCCCGCACCGCAGCCAATCCGCATCCTGCGACGGCGCCGACCATGTGCCCGCGTCGTCCCCGCCCGCGCCCAAGATTGGCGCTCACCCGCTGCCGGTGCGCTGGCGGTGTCTGCTCTACTGCACTTTCGCCAGCCGCGGTCGCTGCGGTAACCGCAGGTGCTGCCGGCGCCGCTGCTGCGGCGGCCCTGCTGGCTGCCTCTATCGCCGCACGCGCCTCTGGGCAGTCTCCTCGGTGCCAGCTCTCTGCAGCGCGCGGGCACGTGCAGACAGCTGTCGACGCAGCTGCGGACCTGTACTGCAGCTCCCTCAGGGGTATGCCCGCGTCCGGGTCCATTTCCCTCCCGGCGTCCACCTGGAGCCCCGCGAAGTTCGCGGCGAAGCGCGCGTCCTCCTCCTGGATCGCGCGGGGCTCGTCCCCCTCGGCGAGGTTCCGCCG